AGCCTTAAAAAGGGGGTCTTCAGAGGTTCTTCAGTGACAGCATATAACATTAGCATAAATGGTTTTCTATGTGTTGTATATGGTTCTTTAAAGATCCTTTTAGAAATGGTTCCTTATAGCACCAGAAAGAGTTCCACTATTGCTACAAGTCAGAGAACCCTTTTGGTACTATAGAACAGAACAGAATAATGTCATTGGAATACAACCAAATAGAGTGGAATGGATTACATGAACAGAAGAGAAGAGAATAGAACAGAAGAGAACATAATATAGAATAGAATAGAACAGCAGAATCTAGAACAGAATGAATAGAACAGCAGAATCTAGAACACAAAATACATCAGAATATAGAATAGAACAGCAGAATATAGAATAGAATAGAACATCAGAATCTAAAACAGAATAGAATAGAACAGCAGAACCTAGAACAGAATAAAATAGAACAGGAGAATCTAGAACAGAATAAAATAGAACAGCAGAATATAGACTAGAATAGAACAGCAGAATCTAGAACACAAAATACAGCAGAATATAGAATAGAATAGAACATCAGAATCTAGAACGGAATAGAATAGAACAGCAGAACCTAGAACAGAATAAAATAGAACAGCAGAATATAGACTAGAATAGAACAGCAGAATATAGAACACAAAATACATCAGAATATAGAATAGAATAGAACAGCAGAATATAGAATAGAATAAAATAGAACAGCAGAATCTAGAACAGAATAGAACAGCAGAATCTAGAACACAAAATACATCAGAATATAGGATAGAACAACAGAGCAGCAGAATATGGAATAAAACTTTAACTATTCTAGAGTGTAGTAGAACTGATTACGAGTTCAATACAATAGAATATTACGGAACAGAATGGAACAACAGAATAAAGGATAGATGAAGTAGTAGAACATAGTAGAACATAAAAGATCAGATCGATGTCATGAAATAGAAGAGTACAATATAATATAACAGATTACAGTAGGAGTTGATATAATAAGAGGAGGATGCAGCAAAACAGAATAGAATAGAACATTATAGAATAGAATAGAACAGATTATCATCAGTGGAGCAGAACAGAACACGACAGCATGTGGAACAGAATAAAGAGTAGAATATAATACAACAGAGAAGAACAGAACAGAACAATGTAGAGTAGAACAGTAGAAAAAGAATGATAATACAGTACAGCAGGAACTCTACAGAGTAAAGTACAATAAGACCGATGAAAATATGAGAATGAATTATTATTTCACAGCTGGATGATTTGGCTGGTTTCTGCCTGTGACTCGAACCTGCCGGTGTTTTCTCTCTGAGAGAAGCGCACGGCTGCATTTACAGTCATTTAGAGCTTTTACAATATTGAACAGTAGCGTACTGAGAGTGTGTGTGTATGTGTGTGTGTGTGTGTGTGTGTGTGTGTGAGTGTGTGTGCGAGTGTGTGTGTGTGAGTGTGTGTGTGTCCAGTGGTGCAGCGGAGAGGCCAGAGGGCAGAGAGGGACTGCAGCAGCTTCACAGACTGAAAAAGTGGAGCGTCAACAGAAAAAAGACGACACATCAGTTTAATGATTACTCAACCTTTATACATGACTTAATGCCTCTTTCAGCCTCTCTCTCCCTCTCTCTCTCTCTCTCTCTCTCCCTCTCTCTCCCTCTCTCTATCTCTCTCTCTCTCCTTTCCCTTTCTCTCTTTCTCACGGCCTCTTTCTGGCGATTCCTCCCTCTAACTCTCTCTACATCTCCCCTTTCTTTCTCTCTCCTTCTCTCTCAACATCTCTCTGTTCTTCTTTCTCTCACTCTCTCTCCCTCTCTCTCTCCTTTTCTCTGTTTCTCCTTTTCTTTCTCTCTCGCTCTCTCTCTCTGTCTCTTTCTCCTTTTCGTTTTCCCTCTCCTCCTCTCTTTCCACCCATTTCCTTTTCCTTTCCTTTTTTCTTTCTCTCTTTCTCATTTTTGCTCTCTCCTCTCTCTCTCTCTTTATCCCCTCTTTCTCTATCTCTCCTTTCCCTTTCTCTCTGCCTCTCCTTCTCTCTCTCTCACCCCCCTCCCTTCCTCTTTCTCTCTCTCTACCTCTTCTTTCTCTCTCTCACTGTATTCAGTGTTGTTGGTGCTGCAGTGCAGTGTTGAGCAATCTTGTAGCACCACTTGCAGGCAGGCTGGTGAAAGTCTCTCTCCCCCTGCTGTCTCTCTCTCTCTCTCTCTCTCTCTGCGTTTCGTGGGTTGTTCAGCGAATAAGACTCTGATATAATATATATGATATAATCCCATCTTCATGCTTATCTGATGAGCTAAACAGCTTAATTTGAACTGAACAGCTTAATGTTGATAAGCAGCTCTTAGTGCAGTAATCCTTCTATAACTGTTTGAATAATGACCCTCGCCTGTGCGCTGATGGTCAGCTGCGTGAAGCCTTGCAGACGAGTGACAAAGTAAAGAAAAAACTGAGCACTCTGTCCTCTTCCCCAGCATGGCGGACCTCCTTGCAGCTTGCAGCATCACACCTCGTGCTACTAGGGGTGGCAGTAGCAGTAGCAGCGCTCCCTCAGCCACTCTCCACCTCCTCCTCAGTCCAGCGCACTGTAGACGCCAGTCAGGTTGCTGCTTATGCATACTGGAGCTGCATCATTTGGTCTTGACTGACCACACTCCCGGCACCTGCTCAAAGCATCGCTGGGGGGCCGCTGTAAATGTTCCCCGGCTACCATGCCGCCCCCGTCAGGTCCTTGCAGCTGGCTGCTGTCCAGGCGTCCTCGTCAGCCATTGTCCCTTTCAACATCCTCCAGCTGGGCTCTGCTGACAAGCCTCATCGTACTGCCTCCACTGCTGTCTTTGCTGCCCATCCTCACCATGCTGCCTCTTCCTCGCAGTCCTCGGCCAGCCTCGGTCCTGTTTCGGTGACGAAAGAAAATCCTCCAGTAATCTAGCTAACTTGCTTAATATAAACAGTAACAAAAGTGAATGATATCTGTGTGCAGCTGTGGATAGCCAAGGAGCTAACACAGCAGTTAGCAAGCTGGCTAAGTAAAATAAGCATTTCAGACAATTGGCAAAATACTTGCCACAGTGCATTGCTACACTCTGATCTGTAGCAAGAAAAGTAGGGTGCTGGTTGCAGTGGGTTGACTTGTGTGCAGCTGCAGTTAGCCAAGGAGCTAACATAGCAGATGCAAGGCTAACTTGCCTACCTTAAACAGTGAAACCACAAAAGTAAAGATATTATACAGTCTCTGCTTACCATTTTGCTGGCATTTGTGTTTAAAAAATGCTCAGCTCGAAGATAAATATTAATTCGCTTGCATTTGTAGCATCCTGTACACTGTTATCACTGAGGTCCGCTTAACAACCTTGAGAAAGAGATGACGAGTACCCCTCACCTCTGTAGCTCGTATTAATGTGAACATTACAACGTTGTATCTCTGTGCCAGTTGTGTTGTAGTACTTGAGACTACTCTCGAGACCAAGAGCTAGCGGTCTCAATCTTGTCTCAGTCTCAAACTCATTTAGACTCGATCTTGTCTTGGCCTTGGGGTAAGATGGACTCGGCAATTGTTGTCGAGCCCAGCCGAGCGCAATGCCGCCATCTGAGATAACTGGAAACTGATTGTTGAATATCAACAAAGCCAGAATAAACAGAATAAAAGTCCTTTCTCTGCAGCAGGGGTTCAAACCTTTTCAGCATGCATGAGGCTGAAGTGGAAAAGCAGGGTTAGATACATTTTCACTATCTTTAGTCTCTGAGTGACGTTGTTAATTTTTGGGTTTCAAAACTTTATTTGAAAAGACCCAAATAGCACAAAGTTGTAGTTACTCATTTTCAGTTCCCACACATGAAGCCCAGAGCTACGTATTCACTGCTGTACTTCTTTCGTTGAGCATCTAATTGCTCTTTCCAGGATGGCTTAACTGGGTGTTATTTGTTTCTTGATCTCATTGTTCCCAAAATTCAACCCTTGAGAGCAGATTGGAATATTATTTTTCCTTAGTGTGTCCCTCGATGGTATAACCACACTGCCAGTTTACCACCCACACAGTCATCCACACAAACACATGCACACCCTTCCACCCATCTACACCACCTTAATCGCTGGTGGTGTTAAAAATAACTGATCTTTAAACATGGTGCATTATTTATTGACATTGGGACGTAAAGCTATACTCCCCCCGCCACCACCACCACCACATGCACAGGCACTTCACTCCCTAATTAGCCACAGGGATCAAACGCAGATCAACATGGCGTGAAGTGCTGGTTTGTTTATCAGTCATTTCCATAAACTCGCTGACCCGGCTTGGATTTTTAAGGGTATCATTTCCTGTTAATATACACTAAATACCCAAGTACTACATTATTTCCTTGATGAATTCCCAAACAGTAAAATTCATTTGCCTTTTTATTAGTTTTAACTTTTTAATTAAATTACTTTTTAAATGGTTTTTTTTTTTTGTAAAGCAGAAAATATTTAATAAAAAATTTAAAATATATATACAGTTAAATTTCATAGCTTCAATTCTTTTCAGGAGACTTGCTTTCAGTTTTTAAACCTCCAAAGTTCAGTCTTAGAAGTGGGTTGCACTTTCTGCTTTTCACAATCCAAGTAATCCCAAACACATTCAGTGATGTTGAGGTCTGGACTCTGGGGTGGTCAGTTCATTGTTCAGCTTCTTTGTTTGATGCCTGTCTCCTTTTCTCAGTGAGGGCTTCTTGACAGCAACACATCCTTTCAGACCCATAGCGCTGAGTTGTCTTCTCACAGTGGACGGACGGACAGAAACACCCGAGGCCACCACATAAGCCCTCGTTGTCCTCATGGTGCTTGGACCCCGATGATTGCAGCTTGTAGCTATATTATTATCCTTGGATATATTTCTTGAAAAATGAATATCTTGTACATAATGGATGTTTTGACTTTAAATTTAATAAAAGGAAGGTGGTCTTTTGCACAGTATTGTATCTATTGCTTATACATGCAAGCGTTTTGGTATGTAATAAAGCGAAACATAGAGCGCTTTCAAAAGCGTTTATTAAGCTGAACACTGATATTAATTGCAAATGTAAATCAGTGCTTAGTATTCAAACTATTAACAAGGTAAAAATGAGTTTTATTGCAGAAATTAATTATTCGGCTCACTTTCCAGTCTCTCTCTCTCTTTCCATCTGCACAATGTTAATCTCTCTCTCTCAGTACAGAAACAAAGTCATTACTGCCCCCAGCAGCACAGACAGTACAGAGGTGAGGGGTGGGTGAGGGGCGGAGCTCCGTGCTTCAGCAAGCCTGTAATTGGTGGTGGATACGCAGTGCTGCTGATTGGCTCCCACACACGCAGCATAGGCCATGGCATGAGCCAAATAACTCTGTTCGTTTACACCCTGGAAAAGATGTGCCATCGGGCCTCTGGCCAAAACAGCCACGTCCTCTCCACCATGGGTCTCCGAGTCCAGAGGAACCGCGGCCTGCTGGACATAGTCCTTACTCTCTGAGAAAGAGAAAAATAGAGAAAAGACGAAGAGCGTACATGTAATTGTTCCAGAAAGACTTCAGTAGATGTGCTAAAGGAATCGTTTGGCAAAACTTCAACCAGGTTTTCAAAGTTTCTGCATAATTAAATGGTCAAGATTACAATACAGAGTGGTTTGACTTGTTCCACACAGTGGTGGTGATGGGAACCACAAAGTTGTTAAATGGTTATGAATACACTGCCTGATGTCTGAGACATTGTTTTGTGATAATTAACGACAGTAGTTTCAACCTATAGGCTGCGTCCCCCCAGTGGGCTGTGGTGGTACTGCTAGGGGAGCCATTGGCTGTCTTGTGTTTTAAACCAGAAAAGTTCATAGCTCACAATTTTTCACAATTCACAATTTATAGACATTTAACCAAGACAATACATTTAGATATTGACAAGTATTATTGTTGTGATAATTATTTGCAAAAACATCAAAAAAGCCTAAATATTTAGGTTGAGCTCAGTGATTGGTCTGGCAAAATGCTTGACCGATGTAACCAACATAGGCAAGTCAATGTACATAGGCAAGTAATGTTAATGACTACAAACAGATCATTTTAAGATTTTTGGTGTTATGTTACGTTTATGTTACGTGTTATGTTTGGTTACATTTATTATTGTGTTATATTTACTTGCATTTGAAATAATCATTCCAGTTAAATGTTCTTGTGGACTGTGGACGTTTTTCGGTAAGTTGCGTGGCCTCAGTCTTGACTCGGCCTCTCTCTCATTTGGGTCTTGATCTTGACTCAGCCTCGGTCTCTTTTGGACCCAGTCTTGAGCCAGTCTTGCTTTCATTTGGACCCAGTCTTGACTCAGTCTGACTCTCATTTGGTCCTAGTCTTGACTCAGTCTCACTCTCATTTGGGTCTTGATCTTGACTCAGCCTCACTCTCATTTGGACTCAGTCTCGCTCTAATTTGGACAAAGTCTTGACTTAGTCTCGCTCTTATTTGGGTCTCGATCTTGATTTGGTCTCACTCTCATTTGGACTCAGTCTTGACTCAGTCTTGCTCTCATTCAGACCAAGTCCTGACTCAGTCTCACTCTCATTCAGACTAAGTCTTGACTCAGTCTCGCTGTCATTTGGACCAAGTCTTGACTTGGTCTCGCTCTCATTTGGTCTCAGTCTTGACTCGGTCTCGCTCTCATTTGGACCAAGCCCTGACTCTGTCTCATTCTCAGTTGGAGTCCGTCTTGACTCAGTCTCACTCTCATTTGGACCAAGTCTTGACTTAGTCTCGCTCTCATTTGGTCTCAGTCTTGTCTCGGTCTCGCTCTCATTTGGGTCTTGATCTTGACTTGGTCTCACTCTCATATGGACCCAATCTTGAGATGGTCTCACTCTCATTTGGACTCAGTGATGACACAGTCTTGATCTTGACTTTCATTGTCTCTTTCATTTGGACTCCATCTTGACTTTGTCTTATTCTCATTTAGACTTGATCTTAACTCAATCTTGGCCCCCTTTAGACTCGGTCCTGCTCTCATTCAGACTCAATCTTGACTCATTCCGATTTGGACTTGATTTTGACTTAGTCTCGCTCTGGATTTCACTCAGTCTTGACTCACACTCATTTAGACTCAAATCTAGCTTGATTTCCGCTCTCTTTCTCTTTAGACTCAGTAGTGTCTTCATCACTAGTCATAGTATTGGATTTGTCTCGGATTCAACAAAGCTGGTCTTGACTAACACCCTATGTATTTATCCATTTTTTGACAAAAAGGAAAATCACAAAAAAAAAAAACAGAACTAACTGGTGGACTGTAATCTTTCATTACTTGTTAGCCACATTAGCCTCATATCTCCAGTGCCAAACTCAAGAAGCTAACTTCACACAACAAACATGTCTTTGCTGACTTTGTGCAAACTTGACATTTGGGCAAACTATTGCTTTTAGAGCAGCGACTGTATTTGTCTTACTGGTGTCCACGCTACGGATGTCGGGCCTTTTGTTGTCGCTGATTTTGTGTCCAGGGCCATTTCCGTACATCAGGGTGGTGTAGGGGAGCAGGTCCCGTCCATACAGAGGAGATTTACCTGTCAGATCACACATGCATGAGTCACACTGGGGTACAGGTACATGTCTGTCTCAACACAGATAGAATAGAATGCACAGGCACACAATCCGCACAGACACCATCGCTGCACCCGCCCACCCAAACAAATTAGATTTACTTTAGAGCTTAAACAGCAAGCAAAGATATAATTACATGAGCATATGAGTCCACACACATAACCACTTACCCAGGATGCTGTTGCCTCTAAAAGGGTACCCGTTGAAAGACAGAGAGTGGGAGTGGTCAGCAGTGACGATGGTCAATGTCTCGTCCTCATTGGTTAGTTCCAGTGCACGGGCAACAGCGTTGTCGAGGGCGACAGCTTCATGTAGTGCCATGGAGGCACGACTGGCATGGTGACCTTGATCGATACGCCCACCTGTGTAGACAAGACGTCAGTTGACTGGTGGTGATAGTTTGGAAAACTATTGCTTCTCCAAAATGTAGTCTGGAATTTGGAGACAGTATAGTACACGAAACTGGGATGTTATGGGATGATAATATTGTTCCAATTTTAGCTTAGCTATGCATAATTTGAAGTGAAAATATGACGATTTTGGCTTGTTTTCTGTGGAAACAGTTTGGGTGACTATTGACTTCCAGTTAGCATCATTAGCCTAGCAGCTCCAGTTCTAACCTTAAGAAACTCTACATATCTTGGCTGATCAAACCTTCACTTTCAATACTCAATTACTGTGCTTCTACCTCCAAGTCGTGAGGGGATCGATAAACAGTCTTAAGTGTTAAGTGATTGATTGACTGGCCTATTGATCGGATGTCTGATTGACTAATGAATAAACTGACTGATTGCTTGATCATTTACCCTCCACCAGTAGAAAGAATCCTTTGGGGTTCTTCTGAAGGATGCGAATGGCTTTTTCAGTGGTCTCTATGATGGACGGGTCCATGAGTGGGTCTCTCTCCGCCTCGTACCTCATATCACCAGGTTCAAATAGAGCTGGAGAGGTAAAGAGTATCAGGAAAATGAAACACCTCATTTCTGCAAATGAGTCTTTACAGTGTGTCACAGTATGATGGATAGTGAACAACCACCTCGAACTGGTTTAAAAAAGACGGAGAAGGTGCTTGCATGGCCTGGTCAAGCTTCTGACTTGAGTCGCATAGAAAATTTATGGAGGATTTTGAAAGTCTGTCAGAGGGCGGCACGGTGGAGCAAGAAGGGTTCAACTCCCCAGGCTGGGTTTGATTCACAATCCAAAAACACGCAGACAGGGCAATTGGAAAAGCTAAACTGCCCCTAGGGGTGAAGGTGTGTCTCTGCCCTGCGATGGACTGCCTTCTGCCCAATTAGCACTAGGATAGGCTCCAGCACCCTCTGCGACCCAGAAGGATAAGCGGCTTAGATAATGTGTGTTTGTGTGTGTGTCCATCAGAGGAGCCTTTGTAACTTTGGGGAATTGAAAGATGGTTTGCCAAAAGTGTGTGTTGCGCTGGTGCGAGTAGATCAGACACAGCAGTGCTGCTGGAGTTTCTAAACTGGACTGAGAATAGTCCACCAACCAAAAACATCCAGCCAACAACGTCCTGTGGGCAGCGTCCTGTGACCACTGATGAAGGACTAGAGGATGACCAACACAAACTGTGCAGCAGTAGATGAGCTATTGTCTCTGACTTTACATCTACAAGGTGGACTGACAAGGTAGGAGTGTCGAATACAGTGGACAGTGAGTGGACACAGTGTTTAAAAACTCCAGCAGCACTGCTGTGTCTGATCCACTCGTACCAGTGCAACACACACTAACACACCACCACCACGTCAGTGTTACTGCAGTGCTCAGAATGATCCACCACCCAAATAATACCTGCTCTGTGGTGGTCCTGTGGGGGTCCTGACCATTGAGGAACACTGAGAGACATGATGTGTGGGTAAATTTGCAATATATATATGCAAATAAGACACACCCATTTATTTAAAGCCTATATCTCAGAAATGGATTAAGATGCACTTCTGAAATGTTGCACTCTATTTGTTGGACACCATACATTTTGGGGGGGATTTTCTAATGTGAAATTATGTGATACCCATTGCAAATAAAACTCTTAACCCAGGAATGAAACTTCAAACCCTTTTGTTCTGTGTTAATAAACATATTACTGTTCATTATTTCCAAAAAATAAAATAAATAAAATAGTTATTTAAGAAAAAAAGTGGCGTTTCTCACCCATCAGGTAGTCCGTGGTCTCTGGATCCACTGCGTCAAAGTCCTTCTTATTCCACACGTAATGAGCCACCTAAGGAAATCCATTTATCAATATTCAATATTTAGTTTGTCAATATTTAATATTCAGTGTCCCTCTCTACTTCCCCTCCCTCCATCTTGCTACAGAGCTGAAGTGAAGGCCTTCCACATTAGATTGACTACATAAACAGGAAATCAACCAATCACACAAAGAGTTCATTTGCAAAATCTCCATTTTAACGAATTGTCATAAAATTCATTGCTTTCTTATTTAAATTTAGTTTTTTTGGCCAAAGCAGAAAACTCCAATGGTCATTTTATGTTTCGGATTGAAACAAAGACATTTAATGGACACGAGCTTCTTTTAAGAGCAACATTTAAATAGGTAAAATGTTAGGTAGGTTGCAACAACAACAACAACCCATTAATAGTCAATATTAAACATCTGTAAGCTCATACAGTGGAAAATCCTAAGGCTGAATCTCAAACAGCTCACTCCTCCCTACATAGTGCACAATGTAAGTTATGAAATTTTGGCTTTTACACTCAAATATTGGTCTTTATGTCCAGTATGAACTGCGCACACATGGCTGAATCCAAAGCGGCTCTTTGTTAGACTTACTGAGCTCCGTTCAGATGCAGTAGCTGTTATTTTAAGACCTACGTAGTGCACTATGTAGGGAGAAGGGAGCCGTTTGAGATTCTGCCTAAAACAGTACACAGCAGTGTTGCGTCACCTGACCTGAATACTGCACTCTGATTCGCTGAACAGATTTATCGGGTTCTGCGCTGCAAAAAATTATATCTGACCAAGTGTCAACTTCTTACATATAGTTAATAAATCTAATATTGAGACTAATGATTTTATCTACTTTGGCAGATTAGTATACTTGTTTCGAGAAATAATGGAAATAATTTTGTTTATTTCAAGATGTAATGCTTAAAACAAGTAAAATGATCTGCCAATAGAACAAGACACTTTTATAAGATAAAACTGCTTAAAAACAAGTTAAACAATGTCTAGAAATAAGTTAAATAATCTTACAATATTCTTATGACAGTCTCACAATGAGTCTCACAGTGCACTACAGTATTTTACCACGGTTAAAATGGTGTTAGGCAGAGTATGAGGAGTCCTGCCAGTGAGGAATATTGTGGTTGGTCTAATGCTAACATTAAATCTTGGCTACACACTCATTATTTGCTCTGTGCTGCTGTCAAGTTGCAACTAGTTGTGTAAAGTTGTCACTGTGCAGAGCTCCAGGTTTAAGATTAGGTTCTGTTGAATTTAATAGACGTTTAATTGAACGTAAGTTAAAGACAAAGTAAGCAATTTATGGACTATCTTTCTTTTGGTCCCTGTTGCCATCCAGCTCCACCTTTTCTTTCTTCATGTTGATCCACTCGTCTATCAGGTTGCGATTATCCTGTCTTTTGCCGAGGGCGCCGAGATCCAAGGGGTACTCGGGGTCCATTGTGCCTTTTGGGGTCATGTACTTCCGGCCTCCGCCGATAATCACCTGCACGAATATTTGCAGATGAATACATGCAGCCATTAGCATGAGCACACATACACACACACACATACACACACACACACACACACACACACACACACACACATACACACACACACACATACACACCACACACACACACCACACACACACATACACACACACACAGCATCACTACATCACAAGCGTCATTTATGGACAAATTTTTCACTAGGTTTTACGTGAGTCAGATCAGATCACATGCACTGCACATACACACTTTGAGACCACATAGATTTGGCTCACACATGCTCTCTCTCTCTCTCTCTCTCTCTCTCTCTCTCTCTCTCTCTCACATACATCAATGTCGGTGTTGTTGATCAGCTGGGCGGCGATGTCCGTGCAGCCGTCTCTTTTGGCTGAAGCTGGCATGTCAGCATCACTGTACCACTTCCTGCTGGAGCTGTGGGCATACGCACCTGCCGGAGTGGCATGCTGGACACGCGTGGTGGTCACTACACCCACTGACTTACCTACACACACACACACACACACACACAGGACTGGTTATTAATATGTCTGAACGGAGTGTTTGAATACGATAGATAGATAGATAGATAGATAGATAGATAGATAGATAGATAGATAGATAGACTGGCAGACAGTCAGACAGATAGACAGACAGACAGATAGATAGATAGATAGATAGATAGATAGATAGATAGATAGATAGATAGATACACTGGCAGACAGTCAGACAGACAGACAGACAGATAGATAGATAGATAGATAGATAGATAGATACACTGGCAGACAGTCAGACAGACAGACAGACAGATAGATAGATAGATAGATAGATAGATAGATAGATAGATAGACTGGCAGACAGACAGATAGAGTTATTCTAGTATATGAAGGCAGTTGGTAACAGAATGATCACAGTAGCTCTGCTACACGTAGCGAACCTGTAGCAGCTGCTGTACCTGCATTAGTGCATTAGTGCTCTTGCAGTGGATCTGTATGAAGAGCTTTACTAACAGAGAGGAGATGAAGGGCACAGCGTGTCCCTCTGCTCCTCTCACTGCTGTTAGTATGCAGGTTACACATTTATAGGCCATATTATGCACCGTAGCATGAATTACACAGCCGCACATGTTTAATGGTTTTGTAAATGTCTGCAGATGATGTACCAAACAGCAACTTGACTCCATCTCTCACCTCTCCCTCTCACCTCCCTCTCTCACCTCTCTCTCTCCCTCTCCTTCTCCCTCTCTCTCTCTCTCTCTCCATCTCTCTCTCTGGTCTCTCTCGCTCAAACTCCCACTTAATCTCTCTCTCATTATTCACCTTGTCCCTGGGCCATGCCTCCTCCTCCCCTCTCTCTCTTTACCGGTCCAAACCTACTCTTCCTCACCCACTCTCTCTCGCTTACTCACTCTCTCTTTCCACTCTCTCAACCCCACCATACCTCTAGTATTTTATCTTGTTTTCCCACACTCACTCCATCATTTCCTTCCCTCACTTTACCATGCTATTTTTGGGTGAAGTGGTCACAACACTGACTACTTTGTTAGTGCATGTTGGAGAAATTACACACCTCCACACCAACTACTGTGTATGCATTAGAGACCTACTACTCGACCCAAACCCAATGGGGACTGACAAAATATCAGGGTTATGGCTGCGTTTAGGCCATACATACAACATTAGGCTTAGGCTGGGCTCAGGTTTGTTTCCTGCAGTCAGTCCCATAAATATTCGGACAAAATTATTGTTATTTTTGCTGTCCAACAGCATACTGGAGTTGAAGTTAAATAATGAATGTGAGCTTGAAGAGCGAGTGAAATGTATGCTCAGTTGGACTGATTTTGCAGAGTACTACTTCTTTGTCTTAAAAAAGTCTTGGCCTATGCCTTGGGTCATTGCTCATCTGCACTGTGAAGCGTTGTCCAATTAGTTTTGGAGCATTTGGCTAAACCTGAGCAGATAATGAAACCTTACACACTTCAGAATTGATTCTGCCACTTTTTTCAGCAGTCACATCATCCATGAATATAAGGGAAGCAGTTCTACAGGCAGCCATGCCATAACACTACCTCCACCATGTTAGTCAGATGAGGTGGTGTGCATTGGATCATGAGCAGCTCCTTCTCTTCTCCATACTGTTCTCCTCCTATGTTCTTCTTCTGTCATCCACCACAGGTCTTCCAGACTTTTTGGTGTTTCTCCAGCTCATCAGTGCGTTCTTTCTTCTAAAAGACAGTTGATTTGGCCACACCTGATGATTTTGTGATCTATCTGATGGGTTTGTTTGGATTTTTCAGCCTAATGATGGTTTGCATCACTGGCAGTGAAGCTCTTTGGACTTCATATTCAAAGTTAACAGCAACAGATTCCAAATGCAAATGCAACACTAGAAATCAACTGTAGGGAATATTTCACCTCCTTATGGAGCAGCTAAGCACCAGTTACCTTTTAGCACAATATAAATGGAGGGGCAATGTATGAAAATGGTTATAATTCTTACACCATTCACTAGATTTGGATGTAATTTCCTCAAATTAAAGCTGAAAGTCTGCACTTTGAGCTGATCTCCCAGTCAGACCGTGGATAATGAAAGGGATGTGTTGGTTTGGTGGAAAGCGGATTTTTCCTTTTGGTTGTTAAGCTCACCTGTAATGTATTAAGCATTTCTACAGTAACGGCGGTAGCGAGAAAAAGCTAAGCTTAATGTTGTTCTTACATGTTGCCATTAAAAAAGGATGTTCCATGCCTTGTATGTGAATGATGGTGTCATGCAGCCATGCCAACATTGCCATGGTAACAGCATCATTGGCAAAAATGAATAATAACAGCTTTAGCAGTGTCAATTGTTTACTGAAGGAGGAAAACATCAAAAGGATGTTGAGTAATACTTGGTAAAGATATGATGACAAAAGTAGATAATTCACTCACGTCCTCATTACATTTGTTACATTACATTACATAACATTACATAACATTACATTCAAAGACAGCTTAGTCCAAACTTGCAATCTTTTCTTTAAACACTCTTTCACTGTGTTTGTAATCATTGGATTAATCTGCTTAGGAAAGGAGTCCGAAGCGCAACCCACATTACAAAATGTTCTGCCGAATGTTGCAGATAATTACATGTTTCCACCTGAAAGGTCCCCACAAAGTACATGATGTATCTGTAAATGTCACTGTTTCTTTTTATCTTTTTAGATGCTGTGGTTGTAGCTTTATGCTTTACCATAGTTTCTTCTATATTGTTCTCTCTTTTATTTGTCTCTTTTAGTATTTTTCTTCCTAATATTAATTTTTATTATTATTATAATTGATTTGCTTACAAATTACTGTAACATCTGTAAGAACGGCATTTTACAGGTTGAACTCAGCAATTGTCCTTCATATTGTGATTAATGGAGCAATAGAAATGTTCTAATATCGCTTGGAATTAAAACTCTACATTAACTTACTTTAAAAGTTAAGAACTTTTTTGGCACTACCTGTAAAGTTTCTATTTTGGAGATACACATTTTTTTTTGACAGTAATGATTTGCTAATATGGACACTTTTTTATGCATGACTAGTCGATCAATGCAAAGTTTTACAAGGTTTGGGCATTTTCATTATGTATTTTCAATTGTGTACCTGCATAAATAATTAAAATGTGTGTGTGTGTGTGTGTGTGTGTGTACCTGCATCTTTAGCCCACTTGAGAATAGACGTGACCTCATTGCCCTTCTGTGAGCGACACACTCCATTTCGTGCAGCAGCACTAAGACCCACCACATTCAGGTTAGTCTTAACACCGCACAGATACGCCGTCGCGGTGGCAGCACTGTCCGGAATCTGAAAATCTACTGAATACACCTACAAACATGCACACAGACAAATAAACAAACATAGATACAAACACTTTTTCAAACAAGAAAACTGAGAATGTCCCCAGAAAGACAGTGAAAAAACTAATAGATGGTCCTCACAAGGTTGCATGTACAACAGTGTGTTTAATAAAAAACCAAAGGGGCCAAAGATTGTTGGAAAACAGGTTATTACAGTATCAGAAAAGTGAAAAATGATTGGTAAAGAGCAGCCAGGGCTTACAGTTGTATGCAAAAGTTTTTTGTGCCCTGGTCAAATGACAAAAAAGTATACATAAAGTTCATTTTATTAAGTAAACTTAAGTAAAGATCAAGTATATTTCCAAAGTATACTTAATGTAGTAAGTGTACTTATATCAATGTTCTGGTAGTGTACTTATAAGTCTACACTTTCAACACTTCTTGGGACTAAATCAGGACACTGTTTAGTTTATAAAAGTATATTTGAAAGTATTCTTTAAGAATAAAAGTAGTAAACTTTGAGAACACAACTTGTTTGCATCTAAGTTTTAGTTTGTACCTCAACTATACTGTGAAATACACTATAAATGAACTTATATGTACTACTTATATACTTCTAGCCCACATTTTAGTTTATGAAAGTATATTTTATATTATATACATTTTATATTTATATTATTACGAGGACAGGACACAAGTATCCACAAGCGTATGAATGAGTCTTTACAAGTATGTGTGTATACATATACATGTATACATACAAGTATAGGCCAAATATACTTATGTATAATTTTGTCTAATATATCTTACATAAAAAGCACATAAAAAAGTAACTTAGGTTTAGTTAAAAAGAAGTATGCTAATAGCAGACTTGAATAAACTTCTTTTTTTTGTAAGGGATGTTTAGTTGATGTTGAAGTTAAAATAAGTTCTGCATGTTTTAATACACAACTACCTCATTTGCTGTATATTGGAGAAAAAATAAGCATTACATTTTTGCAAAATACAAAGTGAAATCAAATCTGAATTCAAAACTATGAAAAATTAGTGTTTTCACACTCCTGGAACTTATGCATTTCTTTTCTTCCCCTAAGTTGTGGTTAGGTTTAGAGCTAAGGCTATTATGTTACAGTACTATTGGAGCCAATGGAAGACCTCACAAGTACAGTAATACATTGTCATATATTGTAAATCGTCCATTTTTGTTTTTCTGCATCATTTGAGCACAGCAGCTGCCTTTTACATTATGTCAAAATTTCATGATCAAACAAACAACAGTTATGTAAAGTTATGATTTTTTAGATACTTGATATACGTATGAGTTTATATATGCGAGTGTGCATGTATGTGTACCTTAGCGAGGCCCACATAAGGGAACGTATCCATGGTCATGACAGTCTCCTCCCCCGTCTGGTTCTCCAGCTGGCCCTTTAAGATGCGAGCGGCAGTGATCGTAGTGATGCCCATCCCTGAAAACAGCAATCAACAATAAATGCACCATCTACACTTACCTGGGGCCAGTTCTGTTCTACCAATATCTTAACCTTGACCACTATATGAGACACAACAGCTGTCAATATGGCTTTTAGGACATCATAATTAATATTGCTTGCTTAATTTTGTGATTTCTATTGTCATTAACAAAATATATAAAAAAAATATTATCTAAGTATCAGTTTCAGTCATCTACCATTCAAAGATTTACAGTTGCTTGTTTTATTAACCTTTTTTGCTATTTTATATATTTGTAAATGATTGTAAAATGACTAGAAAAGCGTATAATATTAAAATTGACATGTATAAAAAGTCGTGATCAAACATCAGATGAGGTAAATGACAAAATGACTGTAAATAGATGTAGAAGTAGAATTTACTATACATATTCACTCAAACATTCTTGAAATATTGGCTATAAAATCAGTTGTAATTCCAAACAAAGTTTAATAATTGAAAAAAAGATATGCAAATTCAATTCAACTGTATTGTCATTATATACATATGGAGTTAATTAATGAATAATTAATGTATAATTAATAATTAACATAAATAATAATAATTAATTAATGAATAATGTTAGAACTACTTCCCTGGTGCATAAACAGAGCAAAAGGAAAAACATAAAATGTGGCCTGTGCAAAAATTATGGCACATTTGGTATTTTTCACTTTAGTTTCTTCCAATATCTTGAACTTAGCAAATAAACAGAAAGTGTGCTCTAAAATTAGCAGAAATTTGTCATATTTAAGTTTGTTCCCTGTAGAGGGAATCTGACAGGGGGTGTTCAAACTGGGTTTTGAGGTTAATGCCACAGTAATTAGTCTAGTGATGAGTATTGAAAGTTTAGTCTCACCATCTCCCAGGAACAGCACGATGTTTTTGGCCACATTAGTGTTGAGTTTCCTGCTGAGAGCTGATTTCAGCGTAGTCTGAGCCTGGGCCCTCCAGAACTCTGGGTTCTCCTCTTCAACTAGGAAAACAAATACAAATATCTCAGCTGCCATAATACAAAGCAGGTCATGTTCTTTGTTTTACACTGCTGTTCAAAAGCACTGTCTGAATGCACTGTATTTATGGGTTAAAAAAGTTTGTGCTCTGCAGGGGATGTGTGAACAAAATTTCACTTCAAAATCTATAAAAATGTGTTATTTAGGCCAGGGGTGTACAATTTTGGCAGAACTGTGTAAGATAACCCACTTGCACAAGATTCAGAGACAAATAGGACTCCTAACAACCACCCGCAAGACCTGGTAGGCACCAAAACTGCCCCCATCAGATAAACAGCACTTAAAGCTTTCATCTCTGAGAGAGAGGAGAAAATCAAGCTGCTTCAGATCTGAAAACATCCACAGGTGTTTCTGTCCATCCTTCCACTGTGAGAAGACGACTCAGCGCTGTGGGTCTGAAAGGATGTGTAGCTGATCAAGAAGAACCTCACTGAGAAAAGGAGACGGACACATCAAACAAAGAAGCTGAACGATGGACTGACCACCCCAGAGTCCAGACCTCAACACCACTGAATGTGGGCTTTCTTGGATCGTTAGAAACTGAAAAGCAACCAACTTCTAAGACTGAACTTTGGAGGTGTGGAAAAATATCACTTAGGTTTCTGTTTACTTTTCTGTTACGTATATCTTCTGCTCTTTTTCCTGCAATGAAAAATGTATAACTTGTACTAATACACTTGAAGTTTTGCTTATAGACATAAATATTCAGTATTTTTACATAATCTTCTGCATCGGCGGCAGGAGGAGTGTGTGTATGTATGTGTGGTGAAGATATCAGAGAAAAGAGAGAAGAATTACCAACTAGACTGCAGAATCTGTTTGTTTTGTGTTACAATTCATTAGCGTGGGCTTTCGTCTCTCTCGCCACGCTACATAGAAAAACAGCTGCTTGTGTTCGCATTGTAACTATGTGCTTTGACTAAATATGTATTGGTGTTCTGTATTTGCTGTTTTTTATGGACACCGAGGGGAACAAAGAAAATGTAGCACTTACATAACTTCTATTACACCCCTGCTAATATGCTGCAGTAGACAGCAGAGGGATCCTATAAGCCTGAAACACATGCCTGCAAAAAAAAGCACAGAAATCCTCCAGCTTGAAAGAGTAGACTGAGGGGAAAACATAAAGAAACTTCAAACTGATCAGAACCCACCAACAGTCTTAATAAGAGAGAGAAATTTGAGTCTATATCTATGTTAGATTATAGAGAAGTGCTAAACTGTAAATATCATCACTATTTTTCTATACTTCTACATCGGTTTGACCTAAAACTTCATCAGGTTTTCACACAAGTCCTAATAGCAGAAAAAGAGAACCAAATGAAACAAATGAGACATAAATATTGGACTTTTTGATGAAAATGAAAGTATGTGAACCTGTAGGATTAGCAGACAATTTGAAGGTGAAATTAGAGTCAGGTGTTTTCAATCAATGGGATGGCGATCAGGTGAGTGACCACCCTGTTTTATTTAAAGAACAGGGATCTGATCACACATGTTTGTGGAAGTGTATCATGGCATGAACAAAGGAGATTTCTGAGGACCTCAGGAGAAGAGATGTTGATGCTCATCAGGCTGGAAAAGGTTACAAAACCATCTCTAAAGAGTTTGGACTCCACCACCCACAGTCAGACAGAGTACAAATGAAGGAAGTTCAAGACCACTGTTACGCTCCCCAGGAGTGGTCGACCAACAAAGATCGTATCAAGAGCTAGGTGTGTAATAGTCTGCGAGGTCACAAAGGAACCCAGCGTAACTTCTAAGCAACTAAAGGCCCATCTCACCGTGGCTAATGTTAATGTTCCACCATCAGGAGAACACTGAACAACAATGGTGTGCATGGCAGGGTTGCAAGAAGAACGCCACTGCTCTCCAAAAAGAACATTGTTGCCCATCTGCAGTTTGATAAGGATCACATGGACAAGCCAGAAGGCTATTGGAACAATATTTTGTGGACAAATGAGACCAAAATAGATATTTTTTGGGTTAAATGAGAAGCGTTATGTTTGGAGAAAGGAATCCATTGCATTCCAGCATAAAAACCTAATCCCATCTGTGAAAAATCATGGTTTGGGCCTGTTTTGCTGCATCTGGGCCAGGACAGCTTACCATTGTTGATGGAACAATTGATGGAACTCTGAATTATGCCAGCAAATTCTAAAGGAAATGTCAGAACATCTGTCTATGAGCTGAAACTTAAGAGAATGTGGGTCATACAGCAAGACAATGACCCTCAGCACACAAGTCATTCTACCAAAGAATGTTTAAAGAAGAATAAAGTTAATGCTTTGGAATGACCAAGTCAAAGTCCTGACCTTAATCCTATGGAAATGTTGTGGAAGGATCTGAAGCAGCAGTTCATGGGAGAAAACCCACCAACATAACCGAGTTGCAGCTGTTTTGCAGTTATTGCTGCACAAGGTGGTCACACCAGATACTGAAAGCAAAGGTTCACATACCCCTCACAGACGTAATATTGGATCATTTTCCTCAAAAAATAAATGACCAAGTGATCATTTTTGTTGCATTTGTTTAACTTGGTCCTCTTTATCTCTATTAGTAAAAAATATGATGTTTCAGGTCAAATTTATGCAGAAACATAGAAAATCTAAAAGGTTCACAAACTTTCAAGCACCAATGTAAATATATACATTCTATACATTAACTGAGGCAAGAGACCACAAGATCAGTAGTTAATCATCTTCACAAATCTGGTTTCCAAGGTCAGCCATATAAAGCCTGTCTAATTTCCCTGTGCTGAGACCAGCCTAGTGAGTTTCTGCTAATTAGCTGGCTCTCCCATCAACCCCAGCCTGGCCCCCAAAGCTGGGGAGCAAAGAGCCGATAGCAACGTTGGGAATACCTGTCTTCATCTATCTCAGCATCCATTTTCTCTGAAGTCTTCAAATTGGATTTTGGTTTCTGGATTGGATGAAATCCCTGCAATCTGGACATTTCATGGGCTATTTCAGGGCTTTAATCCAATCCCAAAGGTAAAGTGCAATTGGACAACTGCTGTGGAACCAGGGCCTGTCCATGCCGGTCCATATGGGCCTAGGGTTTATGGATGCGGATCTTAAACATAAAGGTTTTAAAATATACAGTCCTCTATTTAACAGTTTACAATTTCAGCATAATGAAGTGGTGAAGATGTAAACAAAGTCATTCAGAGTGGTTTGATGTGAAATGCTTTTAGAGTTTAATGCCTTTAAAAGCTCCCTTATAGAAATGGTTATGAATACACTGCTTGATACCCAAGACATGTTTTATGGTGGTTTTGAGTAAATTTTTTTTGGCCTAAAACTTATTTTATGTATTTTAATTTACTTTCTATGCTTTAAATACACAATATGGCCAAAAGTATGTGGACACACCTCCTAATTATTGAGATTTATTCAAACGTTTCAGCCACACCATTGCTAACAGGTGTATAGAATCAAGCACATAGCCATGCAATCTCCATAGACAAACACTGGCAGTAGAATGGGTCGTACTGAAGAGCTCAGTCAGTTTAAACGCCATAGGATGTCACCTTTGCTGAGTCAGTTTGTGAAACATTTAACTTGCTAGATCTGCCCCAGACAACTGTAAGTGCTATTATTGTGAAATGGAAGCATCTAGGAAATACAGCAGCTCAGCCACAAGTGAGGCCATCAAGTGCTGAAGTGCATAGCACATACATTTGCTTATCCTCGGTAGCGTCACTCACTATAGAGTTCCAAACTGTCTCTGGAAGCAACATCAGCACAAGAACTTTGTGTTGGGAGCTTCATGAAATGGGTTTGGACACCTTTGGGATGAACTGGAACATAGACTGTGAGCCAGGCCTTCTCGTCCAATAGCGTCTGTCCTCACAAATGCTTTTTTGACTCAATGGGCACAGATTCCCATAGGCACACTCCAAAATCTTGTGGACGGCCTTCCCAGACAAGTGGAGGCTGGTATAGCCACAAAAGGAGGCCAACTCCATTTTATTATCCATGATTTTGGAACGGCATGTCCAACAAGCTCACGTGGGTGTAATGGTCAGGTGTCCACATATTTTTGGCCACATAGTGCTCATTAATGGTGGAGTGGTACATGTAGGGTGTTGTAAGGCAAAGAAAATGTATGTTTTTTGATTAAAAACTACCATTATGATTACATTTTACATAAACTTCCTCTAGAGTGAACCATTTCATGACTTTCTTTACATCTCAACGACTGACTTCTGAATTCTGACTGAATTCTCCTTTAGCACTTCATCATGTGGGGATTCTTTAAACTTTGACAACTTTATTGTTGAGTGAAGGTTTGCAGGTTTTACATGAAGTTGGCTTAAACGTCATAAATGGATATACAAAGAAAGAAAGTAGGCGGGCTGTCTTCATGTAAATGAGTTCCATTGAATTCACCACCAATTGGGCCCTATTCGTTCTGTGACAAGAGGGCTTCAGGCATCGGGGGTAAAAAAAAAACACATTATGAAATGTATTCAGCACACACACACACACACACACACACACACACACACACACACACACACACACTCCTTAAATGAAACACACGCTTGGAATGAAAAGCACACTCCCACTCTCACACCAACACATTCTTCCCATCGTTATTCAACCCATTGCCTGGTTGACAGCTTGGTGGGACTGCAGAGAGAAAACCCGCAGCGGGAGTGGGTGGAACATTATCTAATACCGAACCTGTGGACAGGTGAGGAGAGAGAAACACAACCACAGAGCTAATGGTGCATTCAGAGAGCCTTCGTCAATTTGTGAAGTTCCAAAATTGTCACATCATCAAATAATAACTAGCAGTCCTGGTGGTCATTGGAAAATGATGCATTAATCATGTGAACAATACATCTATCTACTGGAATGGATCAGTATGTCAACAAATCCACTTTAGACAGTAGGCAAAATATACATAAAAACAGAAAGCTATGATTTATAAACCATCTTTTACAGTTAGTTAATTGAAAAACATAAAGAAGATATATTTAATATTTTACCTTCGCAACCTTTTGTAAATATAAACTAATTCCAAATGTAATGCCTGCAACATTCCAAAGAAGTTGGGCTGGGGGCAATGTAAGACTGGGAAGTTTATGGAATAATAAGAAACACCTCATGTGGAATACTCATGACCTTCGATCACTCAGATGGACCCGAATCAAAAACCGACACACTTCTGAAATGAACATAACCACATGGTCTCAGGAATACTTTGGAAAACTCTTGTCCTGCTTCTACAAATGCAAGTTATACATATATATACACCGCCGACTTCTCTGGGCCAAAACTCATCTGTCCACATACTTTTGGCCACATACTGTACATTAATGGCAGAGTGGTACATGCAGGGTGCTACAAGGCAAATAAAATGTATTTTTAGATTAACAACTTGTATTATTATTATCAATGTTACATGTAAAACCTCAGAAGACACGTGTGGGTTCAATTGTGGTTTTGGATTGTAAATAAAATGGCTATGTTTCATGACCCCTAATTCCTATCACCACCGCTGTCAAGAAATCAGAGTTTTAGGAGAGTTTCTCTACAATTAACTTTGGAAAACTCTTGTCAGTCAACTAAGTTTGTCACACCTACAAGTGCAAGTTAAAATTCTACTACACAAAACAAATCATACATGAAGAACATCAAGAAATGCAGCTGATTTCTCTTTAGGCTAAAGCTCATCTGAGATGGACTGATGCAAAGTGGAAGTGTGTGATAGCTCTGATGAGTCCACCTTTCATTTTGTTTTTGGCAGTAATGCACGTTGTGTTCTACAGGTCAATAAGGAAAATGACCATCCTGACATATACCAGAATAAAGTTCAAAAGCCAGTATCAGTCGTAGCATAGGGGTGTGTTAGTGGGTAACTGCATTTTTGCTGTGGGGTGTATATATACATTTTAGAGCAGCATGTACTGCCATCTAGATGATGTCTTTTTCGAGATGTCCCTGCTTGTTTCAGCAATGCCAAATCACATTCTGCAATATGACTTCACAGTAAGAGAGTTCAGGTGCTAGACTGGCCTGCCTGCAATCCAGACCTGCCTCCCATTCAAAAAATTGTGGAGTATTAAACTGGAGTATTAAAATACTATATGACAACAGGGGCCTTAGACTGTTGAGCAGCTGAAGTCAAGCAAGCAAGAATGGGAAAGAATCCATGTTTCTCAACTACAACAACTGGTATCCTCAGTTCCCACATGAGTACTGAACTCTGTTAAAAGGAAAGGTGATGTAACACAGTGGTAAACATGCCCCTGTCCCAACTTTTTTGGAACATGTAGCAGGCATCAAATAAAAAAAAAGTTAATTAGTTGAAATAAATAAATATTAATATACTAAATATTTTGTTTTTGTACAGTTTTCAGTCAAATGCAAATTTTCAAATTACCGTGGCCTGTTTTTATTTACACTTTTCCTACTCGCCATTTTTTGTAATTTGGTTTGGTCTAATGTTTTACACTCTGCATCTATTTTGGCATTAAAATAATGGTCAGTTTGCCATGACTTAATGCCCATAATAAGAAGGTAAATATTAAATGATATATTATGCATTTGCCTCTTTGCATAAGTACAGTGCCTATAAAAAGTCTTAACCCCCTTAGTTTTCTTCTGTTATTATCATCAAACATTGAATCAGGGTTTTTTTCCAACAGAAGCACTCTTTTATGTCAAAGTGAAACTCTCTACAAAGTGCATTAAATTCATTGGATTGTGCTAGAAATCACATAATTAGTTAAATGGAGATCACCTGTGTGCAATCAAGGGGTTCCAAATGACTGAAGCATAAGTATCTGATAGATCTAACGTCTGGTTAGTATTGTGGCACAACCAACACCGTTAATAGAAAAGAGAACTCCAAGCAACTCCCTGAGAAGGTGATTGAAAAAGCACAGTGGGTCGATACAAGAACATTTCCAAGTCACTGAATGTCCTTGGAGTACAGTTAAATCAATCATTAAGAAATGAAGAGTATGGCACAGCTGCAAATCTGCCAACAACCGGCAAAAACTGAGTGTCTGTGCAAAAAGGAGGCTAGAAAGGGAGGCCTTTAAGAGACTTATGACAACACTGAATGAGTCTCAGTGGCTGAGATTGGAGAGACTGTTGTCTGGATGTGTTACCAGTCACAGCTTTATGGGAGAGTGGCAAAAAGAAAGCCACTGTTAAATAAAACTCACATGACCTCTCTGTTGTAGTCGGCCAGAAGACTCTAGAAGAAAGTCAAATGGAAGAAGGTTCTATGAGACCAAAATCGAGATTTTTGGCCATCAGACTAAACGCCACATTATCATCATTATGCTAAACACACCATCTCCACCGTGAAGCATGACGGTGGCAGTATTGAGCCGTAGGGAAGCTTCTCTGCAGCAGACCCTGGACGGCTAATGAAAACAGAGAATCTCCCAGCCACAAAAACACTTCAGCCCTGATGAGTTCAGAGATGTCCAGTTTAGCGGAGAAAGAAAAGGTTAATCTTTCCAGCACAAATGAGGAACGAGGAATTTCAATGAAATGAAAAAAAGCATAATTATTGGCTACCAAATATGCAAATATGTCTAAATTTTTGCTTCTACCCTGAGGAAGCATGCAAGTAGTTAGCTAATTAGCTAATTAATCCTTGCTAAACTGGTGTCCTTTTACTATGTTCTTCTCACTTTAAGTAAGCTAATGTTCAAAGAGCTAATGGGCAGCACAGCTGACACTAAAAATATATAATTAACTGAGTAATCTACCTGTTATTTTGACTCTGAATCAAGTAAATTCTGTAAACTCAGTGAACAATCTGTCAAAGCATTTAATCATACCAATATGAAACTGTTCAAACCTTTGCATATGATTGGTCTATTGTGTTTACATGATATCAGAGAATGTTGGTGACAACTTGGTAACATGAAATGCTAGAGCAACCTTCTTGTGATGAACTACAAAATCCATCTGAATGCATCATAAGAACATATGGGAAAGTTTCACAATTGTGAGACCAGTGAATGTGAGACAGGTAACATAATACAGGTGGATGCAAATAGAAAAAAAAACTCCTTATAGATGATATTCCATGTAGGGCTGATGTTGCCCCAGGCTGTCATCATGGAGACTGACGTGGACTTACCTGAAGCAGTGGACAGCCCTACCATGGCCAGAAGGAAAAACAGGATGAACACCTTCACTGGCATCATCATGACCAACAGCAAGTGGACAGCACTTCTCTCCTGACCAACCATGAGCTGAAGAAGAACTCCTGCTGCTCTCTGAGCCAACGTAAACCAGATTAGAAGTGACCCCTGAACTCTTTCACAAATAATATTAATAAGGGGCTTTCTGCGGTCAAAGTTCTTGGAAAAAGGTTAATGGAAAAGTTTATTGATCCATGACAAAGATGCTTTGAAGTAAATGACTGATAGCACACTGGAGATAAATATTATTGTTCATAATTACCAGTTCAAAGTTCAAATAAGAAATGCTTATTCTGTGGCATGTGCAAAACTTTGGAATCCCTATTAAGTCAGTATTAGTAACACCCACTTTGGCAGACACCACAACCTGCAAGCACTTTATGTAGCCAGCTATGAGCATGGATTTATGGGTGTTTTTGTCAGACTCTGATCTGGTGAAGCTGTTTTTGAGGATTTTATGGTAAACCCTCTGCATTTACTCTGATGAAGTCTCTTGATTGTTGACGGTTGACACAGATATGCTGACCTCCTGGAGAGATTTCTTAATCTGGACAAATGTTCTGAAGAGGTTTTCTTCACCAGGAGTTCTTCTGTCGTTCTTTTAAGAGTGTACCAAATTTTTGATTTGGCCACACTTAATGTTTTTATTATATCTTTTTGACTGGTTTATTATGATTTCAGTCTATTGAAGGTTTGCTTTACTGGCAGTGAAGATCTTTGGACTTCATAGTGAGAGTTAACAGCAACAGATTCCAAATGCAAATGCCACACTTGAAATCAACTCTTGACCTTTCATCTACTTACTTGTAAGTGAGTGAAGTAATGAGGGAATAACACATAACTGGCTATGGAACAGCTGAGCAGCTAATCGTCCAAGTACTTTTTAGCTTTAGCTGTACACTGTTCAGCCAATATGGATGTAAAATGCCTTAAATTAAAGCTGAAAGTCTGCACTTTGCAGCTCATAATCATATTTAATATAAATCCCAGTGTGCTATGGTCATGGACACCTAAAGTAACCTGAAGTAACTTGGTTCACGTCCAAACATTTATGAACCTAACTGTATAATAAAATTGATATCCAGAATAAAGTTATACTACAGTTGACATCCATATTGCATAATGCATGTATTTTGAAAATGGTGATCAAATCTCAGGGTAGAAAAGTTGAAAAGATGTTAATGGATAAAAATGATATTTATCATTTAATGACTTTTTTATTTAGTTTGCAGAATACTTGAGATAAGAATAAAATATGTAAAAATACATTCTGGTATTTACAACCCCAATTCCAAAAAAAGTTGAAAGAGTATGTGAAATGCTAATAAACATAGAAAGCAGTGATTTAAAAACTCTGTTTTAAATTGAAAACAGTAAAAAAACAAAAAAACAAACACATTCTATGTTTTACCTTATGAATGCCTACAACAGGTTCTGTAAAAGTTGGGACAGGAGCATGTTTATCACTGTGCTACATCACATTTCCTTTTGCCAACACTTAATAATCATTTGGGGACTGAAAACACAAACAAATCCAGTTTTACAAGCTTAATTTTTTGCCGTTCTTCTGTTATACTAAAAGTTCAGCTGTGCAACTTTACAAGACCTTTGTTCTCATATTTTGAGCTTACTAAGACACACATTTTCAATAGGAGACAGGCCACCCACACTCTCTGAATATGCAGCCATGCCGTTGTAACATGTGCAAAAAGTTTCTTGGTGTTGTCGTCATGTCGAAATAAGCATGAACATTCTTTGAAAAAGACGATGTCTAAAAGGCAGCATATGTCTTCCAAATGTGTTCAGCATTAGGTGCTGTCCCACATGTGAACGTTACTCACTAATACCTCCCCTATGCCATGACAGACCCTGACTTTTGACCTTTATGTACTTAACGATTTGTGTAGTTCTTTTTTTTTCTTTGCCCCATAAAACACATTTTCTATTATTTCCAAAATCTAAAAGGTTGACTCATCAGATCACAGTACATGTTTCCACTGTGCATCCATTTCAGATGAGCTCAAGCCCAGAGAAGTCGGCAGCATTTCTGGATGTTGTTAACATTTGGCTTCCACTATGCATAGTACAGTCTTAATTCGCATTTATGGACGCAGTGACAGATTTTGTTTATTGACCACGTTTTTCAAGATATTCCTCTTCTCATGTGGTGAAATACATCACAGAAGCATGCTGGACTTTAGCACAGTGCCATCTGAGAGGTCGAAGGGTCACGGGCATTCAGGGACTAGGCTTTTGACCGTTTCACAATGTTTCTAGTCCTAAATTTTTCCTGGAACATGTTTCAGGCCTTAATTTCAGAATGAATGTAACCATTTCGTCTTTGTACTGTTTTTGTTCAAATACAGGCCAAAGTAGATTTATAAATCGCTGCTTTCTGTTTTTACTTGCATTCTATCTACTGTAGTACATATTTTGGTCTACATTGTAAAAGTTATTAATATACAAAATGACAGTTATTTTTGTAAAAACTTTTAAATGCAGAGTTTCTGCATTTTATGTACTCAATTATGAAATTAGGCATAACTTTTAACACTTATGTCATAAACATATGCTTGCATACATTAACCTTGACACTTTGATAGTTAGACACTCTCTGATAAGCTCAAGGAGAAACACTAAGGTGAATCTGACATTCTGAACACAGTCAAACACATGGAATTCTACTTAACTTTGGAGGTCACGTCTTCCAAATTGCTCCGTATTCAGATTAAATATGCTGTGGACTTTAATGATTATTAATGACAGTCTGATTCATTAATAAGTCAGTGAATGAATTAAGTTTTTTTTTTTTGCCATTTTTTATGACCTTATTGAAGGACGGAGTCGACTCAGCACATCACAGCTTCTTATCACTCAGTTCTCTTCAAGAAGAATGGCAGATCACAGACGAGTACAAGAGAGCGGGATCGTAAAAGGAAAGCAACAGGGTGGAGTTAGATAGATAAAGGAGAGGATTATGTAACACAGAATAATCTGACGGTTGCCAGAAACTGTTTTACACTCACTGGTTTCTGCATTATTGCCCATCATATAGAATCCATTGGCATTTTAATATGTTGTCTTATTTTATGAATAAGAAGAGTTTCTACAGTGCAGACTGAGATATAAATTACTAAAATATATTGTAGATTTTTTATTCTAGATTTTTGTTTTTTGGGGAAGTTATTAAATGCTGTTTTTCTGTCTCAGAATACAGCATAACTTTTCTACATAAAGTATTCTAAAGGATTATTTTTTAACTTGACCGTGGATGATAATTTTATTGTAATTTAATTCAAAATATAAATTTTATTCTGAATAGTAATTTATTACAACTTTATTCTTGTTTTTAATTGTATCATACAGTATTGCACATGTTAATTTATTATAACTTGCTTGCAGATATTAGGTTTGTATATTAATTTATCATAACTTTATTCTGGATATTGCTTTTATTAGAATTCTATTCTGGATATTCATTTTATTATACCTTCCTTGTGGCTGCTAACTTTATTAGACCGTCATGTTAGAACTTCATTCTGAATGTTAATTGTATTAGAACTTCATTCTTGATGGTAACTTTAATAAAACTTCATTCTGAACATTAATTTTTTAGAACTTCATTCTGGATATTCATTTTATTAGAACTTCGATCTTAATAAGAATTTTATTAAAACTTGATTCTGGATGTTCATTTTATTTGAACTTCATTCTGTATGTTAATGTTTTTAGAACTTCATTCTGGATATTAATTTTATCAGAACTTCATTCTGGATATTAATTTTATTAAAACTTCAATCTGAATATGAATTTTATTAAAACTTCATTTTGGATGTTAATTTTATTAGAACTTTAATCTGAACATTAATTTTATCAAAACTTCATTCTGGATATTTTTATTAAAATTTTGTTCTGATGTTTTTATTAGAACTTTATTCTGGATTTAAATTTTGTTAGAACTTCACTCTGCATGTGAACTATATTCAGATTTTCTGAGTCATTGGGATTAACAGGATTTAGCCTAGCAGTTCGAGTGGTGTGAGTTATCCACCAGGAAGTTGTGGGATCAAATCCAATGACTGACTAGGGTTGTTCTGCTGATGATGCTGTGCTGCTCCCACATTGGACATAGGCAGCAAAATGCCGAATGTCCTTTGCAGGACAAAAAAAGCATCTAAAATTTTTTTACCACTTCCCACTAATCACATGAAAGCTGTGTACACAGAACTATCACAATCAATTGAAATTACAATAAATGAAATTACAATAATATTTACAACAAAATGAATTTTATATCAATGAAAACATTAATTCAGACTTTTTAACAGCACTTCCAAACATTTGTACTGTCAGTAGTTTAATATATTTAATGACTTTGCTGGTTGAACAATCATATCTATTGAACACTCCCTCTCACACGCATTACACATACACACACAACTCAAAACACCTCCAGTGCATTTATGGAGCTAGATCGCCATCTACTGGCTTTTAATCGTCATAAAACCCAGACACCTGTTGTCTCCTCTGAATGAGTAGAAGTAATGCATAGCCCATTCCACCTCCTTGTTTCTACACTCAAAGTCCATTCTATCAGCTCCACTTACTATATAGGAGCACTTTGTAGTTCTACAGTTACAGACTGTAGTTCATCTGTTTCTCTGATACTTTGTTACCCTGTTCTTCAGTGGTACGAGTGGATCAGACACAGCAGTGCTGCTGGAGTTTTTAAACACTGTGTCCACTCACTGTCCACTCTATTAGACACTCCTACCTTGTCAGTCCACCTTGTAGATGTAAAGTCAGAGACGATAGCTCATCTGCTGCCGCACAGTTTGTGTTGGTCATCCTCTAGTCCTTCATCAGTGGTCACAGGACGCTGCCCACAGGACGCTGTTGGCTGGATGTTTTTGGTTTATCGACAGTTCTCAGGTGTTTAAAAACTCCAGTAGCACTGCTGTGTCTGATCCACTCAGACCAGCGCAACACACACTAACACACCACCACCACGTCAGTGTTACTGCAGTGCTGAGAATGATCCACTACCCATATAATACCTGCTCTGGGGGTCCTGACCATTGAAAAACAGGGTAACAAAGTGTGCAGAGAA